ACATTTGTGTTCAAACGCTGGTATTTGTACACTTGTGTTCACACTTGTGCTGTCAGGCTCACACTCACACTTACACTATCACATTTGCACACATGCACACACCAAGCCAGATGCCTGTTCACCCAGCACAGAGACCAGGCCCCTCCTGGGAAGCCCCCGGCTTGGAGGGGCTGGACTGCGGCCCTCCAGACCCTCGCGTACGAGGCCAGATGCAAAGCCCCGGGAAGTGGACAGGCTGAGGGTTGTGGCCCAGGGTGGGAGCCCAGCTCCTGCAAGCAGGAAGCCTCCTGCTTTGTTTATCCATCCAGAGAACAAAGGCCTGACCAGCCCCAGAGCCCACAGGCTGGACAGCAGCCATTCTGAAGAAGAGATAAAACTCTGATTTGCACCATGAGGAACCTGGCCTGCTGCTTGACCTCTGCTAGATCCCATGACCCCACCAGACAAAGAGCTAAGAGCTGAGCCAGTGGGCAAAGGTGGCAGCTGCCCACAGCCATCTCAGCTCCAGGCCATGGTGCGGAGGGTGAAGCTGGGCAATGCAGTGGGGTCCAGGTCAGGCGCCACCTCGCAGCCTGGGAAGGGTCTGGCCCTGCACTTCCAAAGGCAACTGTGCCCTGAGGACCAGAGCCTCAGAGCCACCCACCACCTCAACCTGGTAATTTTACTTCTGTGACTGTCTTCTGAGGAGGCAAGGCTAAATACGGTCATGCAGAATGTACCGCCAACATGCAGCAGGTTTTTCAAAGGTCAAACCCACTGAAACAAACCAGGCATCCAAAAGGAAAAAGAAAAAGCTGGAATTGATCCTTGTGCCTCCAAAGGCAAGGAGTTACGAGGCCATTAAACACGGTATCAAGGAAGATCTTATAAATTTGTGAAAACTGTGTATGAGAGAATATCAAAAGGAATAAAAAATACAGCACAGACCTGGCAGCCATGGCAGCGGAGAGTTCCAGCCCTGCGTGGTCCAGGCCATGGGGGCTGAAGAGAGGCGTTGGCTCCCAGCATGGGCAGTGGGCAACAGAGGCAGGAGACCCACGGCCCACCAGGAGGCCAGAGGCCAGCCCGACACACCAGCCACACCTGCACTCAGCGTCCACACCACGTGGGCCTGTTCCCAGTGCGAGTCAGCGTGGGCTGCACACGCTGCACCCAGTGCCTCTCCACCGGCCTTAACAACAGGCCCAGGACACAGAATTGGGCACTGACCCTCCAGGTGCAGGGGAAGGCGGGACTATAGAGGCTGTCTGCTCGAGGCTGCAGCAAACAAGCACATGCCAGAGCCTGCCGAGCCTGCTCTAGGGGACCCGGGAAGGCAGCAGGGAGGAGGTGGCCTTCTTGGAGGAAGGGATTCGAGAAGGTGGGGCCAGGGGTGGGCCAAGGCCACAGCAACAGTCCCAAAGGGAGAAGAGGAGGCCGCTTGTGGGTCCAGGGAAGAGCGTGGCTGTAGACCAGAGCAGAGTGACGCATCAGTGACCCTGGGTCCTGGGAGACCCAGGCACCTGCTTGACGTTCAGTGACAACGCATCATCCTGAGACAGGATGCCTGCCTCCACATCAATCTCTGGGTTTGAAAGCAATCGCTGGGGTTCAAGTTAGCTTTGACATTCGCTTATTTAGATAAATCCAGCATCCTGCAGCCTTCTCCCAAGGAAGACAGGTCTCACGGCTTCCTTCCCACATTGAAAATCTGCATCGAGTTGCCCAGGCGACCTCAGCCGCAGGGATGGGCTGGGGCCCCGGCTGCGTTTCCTGGACCTCCAGGTTCATTCAGCAGACAATACTGAGCTCCTGCTCAGTGCCTGGGCTCTTCCACACAGTCATTCCAGTACGTACGGTATGAGTTTCCTAGGGCCACACTAACAAGACCGCAGACAGTGGAAACCCACAATCTCACCGTTCTGGGGGCAGAGTGTTGGCTGGGCTGCTTCCTCCTGCAGGCCACGGGGGAGGTCTGTACCCCTTTGGGGTACATGTTTGTATCTGGTGAGTGGCGTCTCTCTCCCTGCTTCCTGATCATCCTGTGAGCTGCTTCCCTCTGCCTCAGTCCTCTGCCAGGATGTCCTGCCTCACCTTGGGCCTGAGGAACGGAGCCTGCTGTCTGTGGACTCAAACCACAAGACTTCCAATGAACCTTTCCTCCTCTAAAAGTGTTCCTGCCAGGTCTTCAGTTACAGCAGTGAAAAGCTGACTAACAGAGCAGGACCTGGTGGCCAGCCTGCGTGAAGGCAGAGCACATGTGTGGGGTGCGGGGTGAGACTCGGAGCCAGCCTCTGAGGCGGCAAAGTGCAGCAGAAAGCAGCTGTGACGTAGGGACCCGGTGCCCGCAGACCTCTGAAGGATACTTGGCAGCCCCCCTGGAGGAGGGGACACCATTCCCACCTCCCCACCGTGCCAGCCGCCCCTTCTCAACTCCCAGCCCCTCAGAGGACTTGCTTGCTGTCACTCCCAGTGTCAAGGAGGTGCTCCTTCATGGCAATCTTAGCAGCCTTAGGAGCATAATGATTGCTCCTTGATTTCATGAGGTGCCGAGCTGCGTAGGAAACGACCCCCTCCATCCATGCTCAGCTCCCCTCAGGACAGGCACACACGGTACAGAGGCCTGCGTCCTGGACACCATGTCCACTGTCCCAGCTTCCCAATGTCCCTGAGGACCCTCTTCAGCAGGTGAGGCCCACCAGTGGCTGTTCAATCAACAAACACGGGAACAGCAGGAGGATCATGTGAATCCTCCAAAAGGAACCCATGACAAGAGCCCTGGGGAATGCCATTGATAACTTCCAGGGACCACAGGAAACTACCAGCCTTGCTCGACCAGCCAGGACGGGGCCACTCGCCCAGTGCACACCTGCGATGTGTCTCTAGGGACACCTTATCTAAGAGATGGTTGCTTTGTGTGGGCTGAAAGGCCACAGAAGGGGGAGGCAGCCCCCTGTGTTGGCCTCTAGAGTGGAGCTATGTTCCAGGGCGGGGATGGGAGATGAGCAGAGAGCTGGGCACCCGAAGGTTCTCAGAAGTCACAGGAGCAGAGGCCATGGCAGGGCCTGACTTCCTCCCCATGTCCATCTGGACAGCTGGCCTTGCGGTGGCCCCTGGGTGGTGTCCAGGCCCAGGGGGCCCATCCTCCCTGAGGGCCCTCACCACAGTCCTGATGTGACTGAGCATCTAGGCACTGCAGTTAGGAAAGGGGCTCATCTGCTACCCTGAGACCCGAGCCTGGGAAGGGGTGCTCTCCGTGGGCCCAAGGGCGGCGGAGCAGCTCCTGTGCTTTCTCCAGAAAGGGAAGGCCACCGTGGCAAGGAAGGGCTTCCTAGATTAACTGCCCTCAGCCAGCTCCATGCGTGGCCGCCGCTCTCCCCCCGTGAGTGAGAGACTGTAAATCTCCCCCCATTCATCTCCTCTCCCCACAGTGGCCAGTTCTCACTCCTCTGTGCACCATGCCCAAGACACAGTCTTGATTGAAGAGAGGCTGTTACTCATCTGGTTTTATTTCTCCAATGACTTCCAACACCTTGGAATTAAAACTCCAGTCATTGTGGACAGCTCTTCACCTTCCTTCCCGGAGCCCCACCACCAGTCAGAGAGGCCCACGCGTCCGAAAGTGGAGAAGAGTGAATAGGTAAGAGACAGCCTTTCCTCCATCTGGACAGAATCACAGGCAGAGGAGGCGGGGCTACATCACGAGGAGAATGACAGACACATTCCAAGGACTCGGGTACAAGAATGACAACGGATGTCGCTTCCCACATAGCAGCTTGGCAAAGACTTAAAAGTCACTATTAGTGGGGCGATAAATTGAGCCAACACACGGCAGGCCAGGGCAGCAAAAGGAGTCCACATCTTCTACGCATCTGCCCTTGGGCTCAGCTGTTCCTTTCCTGGGAACTTGTTCTAAGCAAATCATCAGCCAACTGTGCAAAGATTCCTGTTCACATCATAGTGAGCCAACCTAAGTCCCCACAGTGGGTGGCCGGTCACATCAGTATGACACTTGGATTCAGTGCAGCCATTGATGAGAGTGGACTGTACCAGCTTCCTTCCCAGGGCCATGCACTGATGAGTGAAGGGAGTAGCAACCAGGCCTCAGCACCTGGCAACCGAAACTGCGTGCTCAGATGTAGCGGCTCCTCTGGAGAAAGGGACATGGCAGTAGCTGCTTACTTTATTGTTTTGTGATTAAACGCGTGACTGTACTTTCTCTTTATGATCAGAAAAAAGTTTTCATTTCAAAAAAACTGTGCATGATAACTTCGTTACTTTCCTAAAGTCAAGCTGTTCCTAGAAGGTGACAGTTTATTTATAGATTACTCCCAGTGTTGACGCTATGTGTCAGCTTTTCTCCATTGCATGCCCAGATATCAGGCCAAACAGCAGTCCAATCACCGTGAAGGCATTTGGGAGATAAGATGAACATACCCGTCGTACACTTTGAGGAGAGCAGATCACCTTCCATAATTGGGTGGACCTCATCCAAACAGTTAAAGACCTTAAAGGAGAAAACTAAGGTCCCCTGAGTAAGAGGGGCTTCTGCCGCCAGACTGGAAGTCTGAGGGTCTCAGGCATGATGACCTGTGCGTGTGTGCGCAGTAGGAAGGTGGCCAGGAGAACTATCTCAGACTGCGGACTCATGGAATGAAGGGATCTTATGAGAAGGTCATTGGCTGCTCATTTCACACCACAGGCCCATGTCTGCTCCTCTCCTGGGATGGGTCATGACTGCCCCAGGGCCTCCCTCAGCTCCACCAGCTTCCCAGCCCCTCTTCCCCAGTCCACCCTCGGTGTCCAGGTTCCAGTGAGTGTGTCCACCCCACCCATGGCATTTAGGGAAGGAGCGTTTGATGCCTCAGAGCAGAACTGCTGCTCTAGTGCGTCCTTGGCCTCTAGGAAGCCAATCTCCCAGCCCTTCCATCTGTCACACAGGGCCAGCCCTACAAGCTGTCACCTTGATGGATCATAAAGGACAAGGCAGCAAGTTCTGGAACCAAAGGTCAAAACAGTTGATTATGTGGCTTGTGTTCTGACCCAAAGCTAAAGACCCATTTGCTTTCAGCACTGAGGAGCTGGCAGGCTCTGACTGCCATCCCCTGCCCTTGCCAGAAGAGAGGGCCCCATCTATCACCTGGTGGGAGCTCTTGAAACCTACAAGTGGGAAGGGGGCAGCTCCATCTCCACTCCCTCACAGGCAAGGGCAGCTAGTGGGTGACCTGGAGAAAGGCAAAAAAGCTCCTCACAGGGGCAAATGGACTCTGTGCCCGCCACCCTGTGCCTAGAGGGAAGCACTGGAAGCATCAAGGACGGTCACTGCCTACGCACATGGCTCCCAAGCCCAGGGCCAGGCTGTGGCTGGCGGCTGGGAAGACAGAGAGCCCATCTCACTGCAGAGGACGACCTTAGGGAGTCAGGTGAGAGCTCCTACTGTTTGCAATCCTGTATGAGAAAACAATCCTCACCCTACCTGGGAGAAAGACCGTCAGTGTCTGTGTTCCCAGAGGCTGTGACTAGGGCACAGAGACGTGAGTCATCTGTGGGAGGTGCACTGACCTCAGCATATATGCCCCACTCCCCCAGGCCCAGGGCCCTGGAGCCTCCTGCCCAGTGGCCATCTTCAAGCATTATTATTCTTGGAGAAAATAAGCATTATTATATGTGGTGGTAATTGATCCTTAGCCTAGGTCTAAAAGGCTGGCCCAGGGGAATGAGAGTCAGGTTCAGTGGGACAGGTTCAATTAGGGAAGATGGTGGTACATGTGTGTAATGCCACTGGACAGGACACTTAGAAAAGGTGAAGGTGGTGAAGTTAATGTTCTGTATATTTTACTACAATAACAAAAAATGTCACTCTTAATCTTAGGTCCCATGACTAGAGAAGTGAAGCATCCACAAAATGCCAGTGGCCACCTGCTGAGAAATGAAGGGACAGGGATCATCCACTGGGGAGCCAGGGGAGAGGGGCACCTGCTAGGGAGCCAGGGTCAGGGGGACACCAGCGGTGGAGCCACACAGGGGAAAACCCAGGCCTGTGAGGAAGAGCAAATGCATCTGCTCTCGAGGTCCACAGTGGACACTGCCACGAGAGACTGACTTCCTGAGCTCAGGGAGGGGGCAGAGGACGGTCACCTGTCTGCAACAGACAGCAGACTCACTCTTGATATACCAGGAGCAGGTGACCAGCCCACAGCCACAGCCAGAGAGAACTGGGTGTGCCTGGCAGGATTCACAGAGCCACCGCGGGCTCCGGGTGGGATCCATGACAGCTGATGCACAGGGCTGTGTGACACCTTGTGTGACACCTCTAGCTCGTGGGCTTCATCTCTCCTGCAGCCTCCACCCATGACACCTGGAGAACCACCCTAGAAACCGTGACGCACAGTGTGGCGACACACAGGACAAGGCCGAGAGCGAGGTGGGCTGCAGACCTTCCCATGCTGGGAGCCATGCTGCCCTGCCCTCCTACAGGGACCACAGAAGACAGAAACGCCTCAGTGAGAAATACCAAGGCCAACTGGAAAATGACGCAGGAGCGGTTAGTGGGCGTGAGCTAGGAATTAACAAGCACTGGTGCTGAGGCAGAAGCAAAGGGCCGCCCTTTCTAACAACATAAATATCAGATTAACTCTGGAAATACAGTTCTGGAATCTTGGCATGAGACTTGTCTTGGCTGGTGGCAGTCAGTGGTGTGGCTCAAGCCAGGCTGGAGCTGAGCTTCTGCAGTTTGGCCCTGGAGCTGCCCTCCGCTCACCACCAGGAGAGGGGCAGGTTCTGAGGGACTGCTGGCCACCCTGCAGCCTGCGGTCACACCCAGCCTGGATCCACTCAAAGTTAGTGCATCTGCAAACCAACACCACGTGTGCCAGTTAGAACGAGAATGCACGCTGGACGTCAGGAGAGGTGGTTGTCTCTCAGCCTTACTGTATTAACAGCTGGGTGTTTGGGGCCAAATTGTGTCCCGGAGACCCATCTGTTGAGGCACTAGCCCCCAGAACCTCAGAACTCAACTGTGCTTGAATTCCGGCTCTTTTATGATCCAGTGCAGTGTTAGAGTCCAAGGCCTGGTGCATGCTGGGTAGGCACTGTGCCCCAGAGCTGTACCCCTGCCCTTAGGCAGGGCCTTTTCAGAGGTGAAGCCGTTAGACTGAGGCTTGGAGGGTGGGTGGGCCTTCACCCAATCTGCCTGGAGTCCTAAGTGAGGAGGGACCAGGACACATGGAGGCCCCAGAGAGACCCCAGGGATGCACATGACCTTTCACAGAAAAGAAAGCCAAGCCAGTCCCTGCCTCACAGAGCCTCTGTGGCCCCTCTGCAAGGACGCAGAGAGAAGGCGCCATCTGTTGCAGGTTAAGAAGACAGAGCAGAACCAGCCAGCCCTGCCTCTGCTTCAACCTGGACCTCCAGAGCTGCAGGGGAACAAGTCTTGTTGCTTTAAGCCCCCAGTCTCCATATTTTGTTACAGCAGCCCCTGAAGACTAACGCACTGACCATGTAACTTCTGTTCTCCTAAACCCCTGCCTTTTCTAAGCTGGTCTGAGGCAAGGCTGAGCAGCCCCATCTCTTCATCATCTCTCAGGCAGGAACAAAGCGCAGAGCTCAGACCTCAGGTCTCAACTCAGGAGAAGAACCACAGGTCCTGAGAATTCCACAGTCCATCATTTTTAGGGAACAGGTGATCTGGGCCAGGCTGCTCTCAGGTCCTCCTCCAGGACTTACGCCAAGCTGGGACCAGGATGCCTGTGGTCACAGACACAACCCACCCTCCACTTCCCCAGAGACTTCCTGAACCCACAACCCTGAGGCTCTCCACTGGCCCCACCGTGGGAATGCTTGTCTTCCGGCAAAAGGGCCTCTGGTAGCTGATGGAGCTGGAGAGAGTGCCACAGAGGGCCTGCAGGGGCCTGCAGTTGTGCTGGTCGCCAAGCCAGTCCCTGCCTCCCAGAGCCTCTGTGGCCCCTCTGCAAACTGCGATGAGGGCAGTGTGTTCTGCTGCCTGTGGCTGTGGCTCAACACCTGCTCTGCTGCCCCCACCCTCCTGACAGCTGAGCAGCCCTCACAGAGCCTCTGCAGTGGGCCTGCGCCCTCCCCTGCTCAGCTGGCCACAAAGAGGACAGCCAGAGTGGCATAGCTGCCACTCCTGCCCCTAAGCCCAGTGGCCAGTGCTCCCTACACGCCTCCTGGAGGCCTCCCAGCATGCGCCCCCAAGGGCCACGCTGCAGACCTGGCACTAGTGTCAGAGACAGAGCATCTGTCAGAAGTGCTGATTGTCAGAGCTGGCCATCCTCAGTGATGAGTCCAGATTGCTCATCATGCAGCCGGGCTGCTGACACGGGTCGTTCCAGCGCACTTCCTTATTCCAGACGAGGTGGCAGTGCCACATCACCAATCGAGGTTGCTTTAAGCAAAGTCGTTTTCCCGTAAGCTCTGCTGATGGCCTTCCCATTATTGCCTTTCAGAGGAGAGATTTAGGAGGGCAGAAAAGACTATGAAAAAGGATATTAGGTTTAGATTGACCATAACAAAATTATTATAAGAGTCGAGCTATCTGGTTTATACTGTATCGTTAACTACACATTCCCCAATACGCTGCTCAGTCGACCAGCAAAGCAAGTGTTCATTGTAGATTTCAATCTTGGTGAGCAATAAACTCAGTGTTTTGCATAAATAGATTGCACAAACTCTGTTTACTGTGCTTCTCATGAATGTGGGATGGCACAGAGTGTGGCAGCCCCCTCCTCAGGGAGGCTGAGCTCAGAGACGCCAACACATCCACTGGCCTAGGCAGAGGAGGCAGAGGAGGCAGCAGAGTGGACTCCCATGAGTCTGGGCGCCCCTCGGTGCTCCAGCTGCACTCAGGCTGCCTGTCTTCCTCTGCCACCTGCCCTGGGATCCCTGGGCTATAAGCATAACACCCTGACTGCCTGTCTTCCTCTGCCACCTGCCCTGGGATCC